CGGCTTTTTTCTTTTTGCTTATGTGGTGCTGAGGAATCAAACCCAGGGCCTCAGGCATGCAAGGCAAGCGCTCTACCACTGAGCTACCTTCCCAGTCCCACATCTGTGACCTCTTATCTCCAATTAAACACCAGAAAACTGGAAGTGGTGCTGTGGCTCAAGTGGTAGAACACTAGCTTTGAGCTGAAGAGCTGAAGGACAGTGCCCTGGTCCCAGAGTTCAAGCCCCATGACTGAAAGAAAAAAAGGACTGGGAAGGTGGCTCAGTAGTAGGGTGCTTGCCTTGCATGCATGAGGCCCTGGGTTCAATTCCTCAGCACCACATAAGTAGAAAAAGCTGGAAGTGGTGCTGTGGCTCAAGTGGTAGAGCGCTAGCCTTGAGCTGAAGAGCTGAGGGACAGCGCCCAGGCCCAGAGTTCAGGCCATTACCAACCAAAAAAAAGTCTTTAAGAACTGGTGCCTCATGCCTGTATTCCTAGGTACTCAGAGAAGTGGCACTGTGGGTCAAAGTGGTAAAATGCTAGCCTTGAGTAAAAGAACAATTTCAAGCCCCTCGACTGACAAAATAAAGTCTATGTAAGTAGACAAAAGGCTGGTAAGGTGCTAATAATAAAAACCTTTGGTCTAAGTGCACTTAAATTATTGCCCAATAGTTTCTAGCAAATAACCAAGTTAACGAAAAGTCAACAGTAAAAGCAAAGGTGAATTATAGCAAAGTATCAAAATAATTCAACCACTCTAATACACCTTCAATACAATGCTCTCTGCTCTTATTTCAGTGCTGTCACTAGTATATGGCCTCTGGATACTTCCATATTTCCCTCCATTCTCCCCTCCCCTCCCCTACACAATCTTGTAATGTGTTCCTCTTATTAAGCACAAGCACTTGTCAGTGCCGCCCACCACCCACCCCACCTCCCAACTTCTACCAGTAATGCTTCCTCTGATACCACTTCATTTGTATTCATTGTTATTATTCTGATAAAATAGCACTTTTCTTCCTATCTTATTTCAAGTTGATTCATTGCTTATTTGTGTATGTATATATATTGGGGGGAGGGGGGTTAGGGGGCTTGAACTCAGGGCCTGGGCACTGTCCCTGAGCTTTTTTACTCAAAGGTAACTAACTGTCTACCACCTTGAGCCACAGTGCCACTTTCAGTTTTTCTGGGGGCTAATTGAAGACAAGAGTCTCATGGACTTTCCTGCACAAGCTGGATTTGAACCTTAGATCTCAGTCTTCTGAGTGGCCTGGATTACAGTACCAGCCACCAGAACCTGGAGAATATATTTAATTCATTCTTATTTCATCAGTGTTTTTCCTTGCTTTCTCACTTATTATTACAATATAATTTTCTCCTTTTACAGTTTAGTAGAATATTATTTTAAAATATCACCTGTAGGAACCTATTACTGAGAGCATTACTTAAACTATCTTCAATCTTTCTTTTCTTGTAAAGCTTTCACTTTACAATTATATTCTTGGCTCAATCACTCTTAAATTAGGTGGCACAAGTTCTAGCTCTCACTAAACATTCCCAACTGATGTGCTGATCATCATTAATTTTTTAAAAAGTATATACCATCAGTGAAGATGCAGAGAAATTTCTTTGTAAAGCCTGTGACTTAAACTGAAGTATAAACTTTATAGAGCTGAGCCTCCTAAACAGCTAGGATTACAGGGTCACCAGCACTCAGCTTACACAATTATAATTAACAGAAAATTTTCACCGTCTGACCTAAGAACTATGGTTTTAGTAATTTACTAAGGAAGCACAAAATCAGTTTCTTTGCTTGACTCCTACTGACAGTGACAAGGCAGGGTGGGCTTGGCGGACCTGGCTGCTATCGCCTTACTTTCTCACCACTCCTGTGCACTGAAACTAATATCATGTTCTCAGATGAAGAAGACAATCTTCTTTAACAAAGGAAGGCTATTATTCAGTCGAAGGTCTAGAGTAGCTGTTTTCCCAACAGAACCTCCAACCAAACTCCCAAATAGCTATTTCTTTCTAAAAGATGAAGTTTTCATCACTAAGTACAAATCTACTTTCTATACTATTACTGCCCCCTGCTGTCTGTGACTCCACCTTATTTACACTGTTTTTCTGGGATAACAAAGCCTAGAGTTAATCCCATACAACAAGGGATGACAGAACACACTCAATTTCTAGCAATATACTTAATGTATTCTTTTTTGAAATCGTGGGAGATATGGCAGTGCTTACCTGCAATCCAGTACTCGAAGGCTATTAAGAGGAGAATGGAGAGTTCCAGGGAAGCCAGGGTTATAACCTAAGCACAACCTTGTCTTTAAAAAAAAAATTATAAGCTAGATCCCTGTGGTTCAGGCCTATAATCCTAGCTATTCAGGACACAGAGATCTGAGAACTGAGGTTTGAAGCCAGCCCAGGGAAGACAAATCATGGAGACTCTTATCTCTGATTACTGGGAGAGGTTGGGGGTGGAGGAGCAGAAGAAGAGGTGGCAGAGTGCCAGCCTTGAGCGAAAAAGCTACGAAGGGAACAAGGGGATGGTCAAGTCCTGAGGCACACTGATTAACAGTTTACATAATTGGGAGCAGGGAGGATTGGGGGGGGGGGGTTGAGGGGGGAGGATGGGAAGGATAGGAAGGGGAAACAAAGGAGACTACAATGCTTGATAAGAAATGTACTCATTATCTTGCCCATGTAATTGTAACCCCTCTGTACAGTATTTTCACAATAAAAAAAATAAAATAAAATACAAAAAAAAACAGTTTACATAATTATGGGATAAGGGGTGTTCAGATTTGCTCAGCTTTTCAGTACTGTATACTGAGATGCAAGATTTCTTTTTCCCCAGCTGGTCCTGGGGCTTGAACTGGGGCTTTGAACTGTGATCCTCAAATCTCCTGAATAGCTAGGATTACAAGTGTGAGACACCAATGCCCAGCAAGATTCCTGATTTGTGCCTAGTTTCAGTGAGGTCCTCTGCAGAGCCACTGCCAAGTAGGAAATTCCTATTTGCACACTGGTCCAGAAAACAAAAAGGGGAGGAGGGGTGGTGTGCGATACTTTAGGCAAGTATTGAGTGTTTACTGACTCCAAGATGTTGTCAGCCCACATCTAACAAAGAAAGTGTACCCTAAACAAATTTTACAGAAGACAACATTTCACCATGGGATAAAATGCACATTCTTATTAGTGCTGCTGTACAAAGCACACTGAGTCTTATGGGATTTCTTTAGGAATCAAATCTTGTCTAACTGAGGGGTAGGGCAATTAACCTGTTAATAAATTCAGTTAATATTTATTTCTTCTAAAAAGCAAAAAATTCCAGGCACTGGTGGCTCACACCTTTAATCCTAGCTGCAAGGAGGCTGATCATGAGCTCGAAGCCAGCCCAGGCAGGAAAATCAGTGAGACTCATACCTCCAATTAACTACCAGAAAACCAGAATTGGCACTGTGGCTCAAAGTGGTAGAGGTGGTACTGTGGCTCAAAATGGTAGAGCAGTAGCCTTGAGCAAAAAAGCTCAGGAATAGCACCTAGGCAAGATCAAGCTCCACGACCCACAATAAATTAATTAATTAACTAAACAGCAAAAACTCTTGAATTCAATCTTCAACACTTCAAAATTTAAAAATAAACAAATAACAAAAATGCTAACTTGTTTTATGATTCTTGGTTGCTGCCTTAGCTCAATACAAACCCATAAAACAACAAAAAAAAGTGTCAAAGAAGTCACTAATCAATTTTTGCAAAAAGAGCATACTTGCCTACCATACTGTAACAGCAAGGAAAAACAAAAACTAAACTACAATCATTGTTACCTTCATGTTTTTCCAGAGCCTGTATAACATTAGGGAGTTGATTTATCCCCTGATAAAGTCGGTAACAATCTTGTAAGGTTGCTGCTTGTCTTTGAAATTTCTTGGCAAGTCTGTTAAGATCTGGGAATCGACGAAGCAAATCTTCTTGTAAACTCTGCCTTAACTCTGCATCTTCTACAAAAGCTTCCACTAAATCTAATCTGAAAAAAATTACAATCCAATGTTAAATACTTTAAAATTAACTTATCTACTAGGCAGGGGAATACAGATCAGTGCTATATGTTCCTGCCTTATCTGTGTAACTAGTTTATGCTTAGCACTGGTGTCACACACTAGTAATGCTAGCTAATCAGGAGGCTATATGACCTGAGGGTCAAAGCCAGCCTGGGCAGAACAGTATGTGAGACTCTTAAGTCTAAGTAACTAACAAAAAGCTAGAAGCACTTATAGCTCAAGTTTTTTTTGTTTTTGTTTTTTGTCAGTCATGGGGCTTGAACTCTGGGCCTGGGCACTGTCCCTCAGCTCTTCAGCTCAAGGCTAGTGCTCTACCACTTGAGCTACAGCGCCACTTCCGGTTTTCTGGTGGTTTATTAGAGATAGGAGTCTCATGGTCTCTCCTGCCCGGGCTGGCTTTGAACCAAGATCCTCAGATCTCAGCCTCCTGAGTAGCTAGGATTACAGGCATTATAGCTCAAGTTTTAAGAGTGTTAGCCTAGAGTGAAAAAGCCAAGTGAGAGTTCAAACCTTTGAATTCAAACCCAGTACAAACATATACACAAACATGGCTTGCACTTTTTTTGTTGTTGTTGTTGGTCATGGGGCTTGAACTCTGGGCCTGGGCACTATCCCTCAGCAGTTCAGCTCAAGGCTAGAGCTCTACCATTTGAGCCACAGTGTCACTTCCAGTTTCCTGGTGGTTTATTGGAGATAAAGTCTCACAGACTTTTCCTGCTCTGGCTGGCTTTGAACTGCGAACCTAGATCTCAGCCTCCTGAGTAGCTAGTATTACAGGCGTGAGCCACCGGCACCCAGCTCTACACTCTTGAATATCTATCCAGAGTAAGTGTTACAAGTCAGGATACAGTAAAGATACTTGCATATTGATGTTCACTGACATACTATTTACAATAGATAAATTATGGAAACAACGCGGATGCACTACAGCAGATGAGTGGATCTAGAAAATATGGTACATATATAAAATGGAATTTACTCATCCATTAGAAAGAGTATCATTATGTCATTTGCAGGGAAATGGCTGGACCTAGAACAAATCATGTTAAGTTGTAAGTCAGACTCAGAGACCAACAGCACATTATCTCTCATATGTGGAAGCTAGATTTGAAATATAAACATGCGTAATAACATATGCAGGGTTCTATTACGCATTTACACATAAATAAACTGACTAAAGGATGGTATTCTTATGGGAAGAATCCTAAGGTGTAATGCTTCTGAACAACTAATGTACTGTTTATCAAAATGAATATAGAAGCAGAAACATGTTTTCAGGAGAGCAAAAGGGGCAGGAAAGAAGAGGGAGCAAATGAAATCACTGTATTCAGTGTATATTATATAAAAGTTGAACTACATAACTTGAGGGTATTGAGGGTAGGGATGGTAGGAAAAAATACTCATATTATCAGTGTAACATCATTATATTCATAACCTGACTTACAGAACTGTAACCTCTTCATACAACTACTTGGCAATAATAAGGTTTAGTGCATCATCTTTTGCTTCAAGAAAATGTTCTATTACGCTCTTTAAGCATTAACCAAATAAAAAATTCACAAAAACGTTAACTCTATTTTGAAATATTAGTTTTGGTAAGAGAGTAGAAACTACAAACTATGAAACACACATTTTTAAAAGATACTAAAGTATGCTTAAGATTTCACCAAAGTGACCTTTTTTTTGGTTTTGGTTTCTTCTTTCTGTTCGTCATAGGGCTTGAACTCAGGGCCTGGGTGCTGTCCCTGAGCTCTTTTGCTCAAGACTAACACTCTACACTTTGAGCCACAGCTCCACTTTCCATTTTTGAATGGTTAATTGGTGATAAGTTTCATGGAGACTATTCTGCCCAGGCTAGCTTTGAACTGCAATCCTCAGATCTCAGCCTCCTAAGTAGCTAGGATTACAGGCATGAGCCACCAGTGCACAGCTGGTTTTTCTTTTGTTTTTGGTGGTACTGGCATTTGAACTCAGGGGTCAAAAACTCTATCACTTGAGCTATGCCTCCAGTATTTTTTCCTTTAGTTTTTTACTTTTTGTTGTACGAGTTCTGGGACTTGACCTTAAGGCCTGAGCACTGTTTCTGAGTTTCTTTTGCTCAAGGTTAGCACTCGTACCACTTGAGACACAGCGCCACTTCCAGCTTCTACCTTCTAATGACTAGTTTACTAGAGATCAGCCTCTCACAGGGATGAGCCAGCAGTGCCGTGTGTGTGTGTGTGTGTGTGTGTGTGTGTGTGTGTGTGTAGATCAGTCTCTCACAGGGATGAGCCAGCAGTGCCGTGTGTGTGTGTGTGTGTGTGTGTGTGTGTGTGTGTGTGTGTGTGATCAGTCTCTCACAGGGATGAGCCAGCAGTGTCGTGTGTGTGTGTGTGTGTGTGTGTGTGTGTGTGTGTGTGTGTGTGTGTATGTGTGTGTTAGTGATTAATTGGAGAAAAGAGGAGTCTCTCTCCATACTTATCTGGGCTAGTTTTAAACCTGGATCCCCAGATCTCATCCTCCTGAATAGCAAGGATTACAAGCATAAACCAACAGCAACCTTTTTCTTTTAAGTTTACTTTTTAGATAGGACTGTGTGCTTTTGCCCAGGCTCAGCCCTGGACAACTATAATCCCACCTTTGCATCCTGAAGATCTGGGATCATACACAGTGAAAAGCTTAATAAACTGCTAGTTCATTAATCTACTTGGTAGGCCCCTTCAGAAATAATTAGTGTCTGTTTATGTTTCTGGCTAAAACACGAAAGGAAAGATAAAACTGCTCTATTTTCCTGATAATGCCACTTTTAAATTACAATTTTAAACTGGGTAGAGGGGCTCATGCCTAAAATCCTAGTTACTCATGAGGCTCCATCTCCAATAACCAGAAAAAGCTGGAGACATGGATCAAATGGTAGTTATTAGGATAACCTAAAAACTGAGAAAAGTAAATAAAAGTGCATCCAGTGATGGAATTACCATGAACCTATTTTAAATGGTTACATATGGCTAGGACTGGTAGTACAATGCCTGTAGTCCCAATACTCAAGAAAGAAGCAGAGAGATTTAGAATTCAAGCCCAGCCTGGGCTACATAGCAAGACCGATCTCAAAAAATTAATTAACTAAATAAAATAGTATAAATGGAGACAAAACAAACTAAAATAAAATGCTTATAATAAAAGCATAATTACGGGAAAGACATGGTGCAGTACTATATTAGAATGATAATAAGTGTTTTAGAATCGTAAGTTTTTAAGGAACAAATTGTCTTAAAGGTGCACTGCATAAAACAATTCCATTTACACAAAACAGGCAAAAATAAGCCCCGGCTCCCACCCACAGAGTCCAGAAGATGGTTACTCTTGGAGTATGGTGGGTAACTCGAAGGAAGGATTATTGAAGAAAATATAGGAGTAACTGCAAGTTAGTTAAAGCTAATCAAAGCATTCTAAATGACATACCTCTCTTCTATTCTGTTCTTATCCATGAGAGGCTGCTTAATCCACTGGTTAACTAGTCTTTGCCCTTGCGGGGTTTTGCATTTATTCAGCAATGCAGCCAGAGACTGAGAGCCAGTTGTATCCTCAACAGAACCCTAATAAACAAAAGATAAAAGATGACACTCATTAGTAAAAATCTTACTATAACATGAAAAGTAAATAATTTGGGAACAAGATCACATAATATTCTTTAAATCTAAAGTGAGAAATTTCCACAAAATAATTCCCTGTTAATCTATATTTAACTATTTACTTTTTTCTAAGGCAAAACAACTTTATAATTACTCCAGTTTTAGAACTGATGTGACTATACCAAACTAGAACTAGAAGAGTAAAATACAGCAATTCGGGCTGGGAAGGTGGCTCAGTGGTAGAGTGCTTGCCTTGCATGCATGAGACCCTGGGTTCGATTCCTCAGCACCACATAAGCAAAAAGGAAAAAGCCGAAAGTGGCACTGTGGCTCAAGTGGTAGAGCGCTAGCCTTGAGCTGAAGAGCTGAGAGACAGCGCCCAGGCCCAGAGTTCAGGCCCCACGACCGGACCAAAAAAAAAAAAAAAAAACAGCAATTCAATGTTACTTCAAATACGTAAGTCCTTAGTAAAAGCTTACAGCATTTGTCAAAGGAAATATTTTATTTATTCATTTTCTTTACTTATTTTTTTAACCAGTGTATGTTTTACCTGGAAAAGGTTAAGGGCTCTAACTGCTGCAATATCCAATTTCATATACTGGCTGAAGTCAAAAGTAGTCAGTTCAAACTGTCCAAAATTTGAATCATCAGATAAAAGCTCTAAAAACTTGATTACTGCAGACAAAGATGAAACTGCAACCTAAAATTAAGAATATAAAATAAGGTTTCTATATCACCAGAACTGGTTTCACAAATTAAAAATACAGAGGGAAGGAAAGTGGGAAAACAAGGAGGGGGGGGGTGTAAACACTGTTCAACAAGAAATGTACTCCTTACCTTACTTATGTAACTGTACCCCTCTGTATATCACCTTTACAATAAAATTAAATTTTAAAAAAGAAATTACAAGTGCAAATATAGCCGGTTCTTGCCTGTAATTCTAGCTACTCAGGAGGCTGACATCTGAGGATTACAGTTCAAAGACAGGCCAGGCAGGGGGAAAAAAAAAATCTGTGAGACTCTTACCTCCAATTAACCACCAAAAGGTTGAAAGTGGAGCTATATAAAGTGGTAGAGATAGTCTTGAGCAAAAAAGCTAAGAGGCAGTGCCCAAACCCTGAGTTCAAGACCCAGTAACAGCATGATTTCGATAGACACTATTATAAGTTAAGCAAAAAAACAGCACTAGCAAGTCACATACCTGATTCTCCATTTCTGGCAAGACAGAACTATTCATCTGTTCTCCCTTTTTGCTTTTCAATAACCGGTTCAGGTCCTGACAAATGTCTTTTGTGGAAAAATCAGCTCTTTTTCTTTCTGTGATCAGAATTCCTGCTCTCTGAATAACCTATTTTACAGGAAATTATTTTAAATACTGGGAGAAAAGCAATGAGAAAGAAAATTGTAACCCTGAGAAATAATATGACAACAGCTTTAACAATTAATCCACATCAAATTATTATGCAATGTGAAAGATACTAGTAACATTACTTAACATATTTTTAATCCTATAAATTGGAGTTGAATTTACATTACATGCACATAAAGCTTTCAAAAACCAGTCCCAATAGTACAAACCTAACAGAATATTACTGAAGTACAGGTATGATTCAAATGGCAAAACACCAGCCCTAAGCTTAAAAACCAATAGAGAGAATGAGACCTTGAATTCAAGCCCCAGTTCCAAAACAAAAAACACACTTTGGGCCCTATCTATGGCAAAAATAGCCCACAAAAAGAAAAGAACCCTGGTAGCCGGGCGCTGGTGGCTCACGCCTGTAATCCTAGCTACTCAGGAGGCTGAGATCTGAGGATCTCGGTTCAAAGCCAGCCCGGGCAGAAGAGACCGTGAGACTCCTATCTCCAATAAACCACCAGAAAACCGGAAGTGGCGCTGTAGCTCAAGTGATAGAGCGCTTGCCTTGAGCTGAAGAGCGGAGGGACAGCGCCCAGGCCCAGAGTTCAGGCCCCACAACTGGACCAAAAAAAAAAAAAAAAGATGCAAGACACCAGAATCAAATACAGTAACAACAGGGGTTATACCATGGGGAAAGACCAAACAAACAAATAAATCACATAGTACACATTAAAAAGAACAGCAAGAAATAAAATCTCATGTCCCTCTCTTGGGGTTCATTTCCCTTAGCATCAGCTTATATGGTCATATGTACATAGCTTTTTTTTTTTCTTGGCTGGTTGTGTGACCTGAACTCTGGGCCTGGGCGCTGTCCCTCAGCTCTTCAGCTCAAGGCTAGCGCTCTACCACTTGAGCCACAGCGCCATTTACGGCTTTTTCTGTTTATGTGGTGCTGAGGAATCTAACCCAGGCCTCATGCATACAAGGCAAGCACTTTACCACTGAGCCATCTTCCCAGCCCTGTTACATAGCTCTTGACCTCTTCTGGTTGTCCTAGACATATACTAATTATTGCAGATAAGGGAAACCATGGAACCTATATTTCTTTGGGTCTGGCTTACTTCACTTAATATAGTGTATGTGGTATGTATATATGATCCATATATCAACTGAGGGGCATCTGGGTTGATTCCATATCTTAGCTATGGTGAATAATGCTGCAATAAACATAGTTGGGCTGGTAGTCATTTGGGTAAATGCCTAAAAGTGGGATTACTGGGTCATAGGGGAGCTCTATGTAGAGTCTTTTGAGGAACCTCCATATTGTTTTCCAAAGTTGTTAAACAAGTGTACACTCCCACCAACAATGCAGTAGGGTTCCCTCTTGGCCACATCCCCTCCAGCATCTGTTGTTATTAGATTTCTTAATTATAGCCATTCTAACTGGGGTGAGGTGGAATCTCAATGTTGTTTTGATTTGCATTTCTTTTATGGCTAGAGAAGCTGAGCATTTTTTCATGTGTCTTTGGCCATGCTTATTTCCTCTTCAGAGAAGTCTCTCTTTAAGCCCACTTATTAATCTGGTGGTTGTTTCTTTGAGGATTTGTTGTTGGGGGATTTAATTTTTTGAGTTCTAAGTATATTTTAGATATGAGACCCTTGTCCATTGTATGGCTAATGAAGATCTGCGTGAGACTCTTATCTCCAATAAACCACCAGAAAACTGGAAGTGGCGCTGTGGCTCAAATGGTAGAGTGGTAGCCTTGAGCTGAAGAGCTGAGGGACAGTGCCCAGGCCCAGAGTTCAATCCCCACAACTGACAAAAACAAACAAACAAACCTACTCAACTCTGGTGTGGTATGGCCAAACAACCACACATATGTAAATGAAGGAGTGTAGCTGTGCTCCAAAATTTGTGGACATTGTAATTTGTATTTTGTGTAATTTTTACCTATCAAGAAACCACCTTTTGGGAGGTGTTGGTGGCTCCTGCCTATAATCCTAACTGAGCTGAGCTGAGCACTGAGGATCTTGGTTCAAAGCCAGCTAGGGCAGTAAAGTCAATGAGAATCTGATCTCCAATTAACTATTTAAAAAGCCCAGGGGCTGGGAATGTGGCTTAATGGTAGAGTGCTTGCCTAGCATGCATGAAACCCTGGGTTTGATTCCTCAGTACCACATAAAACAGAAAAAGCCGGAATTGGTGCTGTGGCTCAAGTGGTAGCGTGCTAGCCTTGAGCACAGAGAGACTCAGGGACAGTGCCAGCCCCAGGGCTGGCAAAAAATAAAACTAGCTTTGAGCAAAAAAGCTCAGGGATAGTGCCCAACTTCTGAGTTTAAACTTCAGGACTGGCACCAACCACTTGCAAAAACATATCCTTGACTACTCTTGGGACTACCTTGGAATTCTGTCTAACAGTGGGTTTTTTTCAGGGAGTTACTATTAAGAGCAGGCTGGGAATGTACTCAATTCTTAATAGTTTGCTTAGCATGTGTAAGGCCCTGTGTTTGATCCCTAGTACCAAAAGAAAAAGATCAAAATACTTCCAGATACTTTTAACTTCATAGAACTTTGCTACATTACTGAAAGGAAAAAGACATTTGTACCATAATTGCTTATATGTAAGATAATGATGTTGTGTTCATCAAATTCGTAGTTCACAACATACGCCATCAATTCCAGATATGTGCCAAAATACCAATTTTTATCTAAAACAGAATCTTAGGTTAATTCATAATATTCAACTTTTATGTAGAAAAGTTTTGTATGTCTTATATACCTTATAAGTACTCATGTAAAACTGACTTCAAAAAAATTTTAATTTCTTGGTGCCAGGGACTGAACCTAGGGTGTCTTGCATGCTAAGCACAATCTTACACTGAGATACCCCTGGTAGCCTCACTAGAGTTTGAACACAGGTCCATATCCATTGTTAGGCAACTGCTCTACCACTTGAGTCACTGTCAGCTCAAAACATTTTTTTGTGCTGGTATCGGGGCTTAAATTTGGGGTCTCACTCTCTAGCTTGGCTTTGTCACTCCAAGGCTGACACATTACCATTTTAGCCACACCTCCACTTTTCACTTTTTGGTTAATCGGAGATGAATCTTATGGACTTTCCAGCCAGGCTGGCTTCAAACCATGATCCTTAAATCATACCCTCCTGAGAAGCTAGGATGAGCTACTACTGCCCAGCTCAAAGCATTTTTTTTTTTTGGGTCCGGTTGTGGGGCCTGAACTATGGGCCTGGGCGCTGTCCCTCAGCTCTTCAGCTTAAGGCTAGCGCTCTACCACTTGAGCCACAGCGCCACTTCAGGCTTTTTTTTTTTTCTTTTTGCTTATGTGGTACTGAGGAATCAAACCCAGGGCCTCATGCATGCAAGGCAAGCACTCTACCACTGAGCCACCTTCCCAGTCCCTCAAAGCATTTTTTTAACCTATTAATCTATGTGTGTACTAGGAAACTTCATTCAAACAAGGTTAGTTTTTAAATGTTTTATTTCATTAAAAAAACTTTATATACAAGATTCAAAATAAACAGAAAGGCAGCTTTCAATTAGATGAATGAGACACTGGTCATTCAAACAAACTAGTGTAGAAGCCTACTTAATGCACTCTTCAAAAATTATAAATGATCTAACTATGCGGTCCAAAGTTGTGGGTTTTATATTAGATCTGTATTTGTAAGACACTTGTGAAATCTGAAGACTGGTAATGCCAATTTCAAGCTGCTTATAGTTTGAGTACAGGTTTCACATTACAAACAAATGGTGTTAACTAACAAAATAGTAATCCTCAAAAACCTTTTTGTCCCATGTTCACACATCTGTAATGGCGTACCACTTGCTAATTCTCCTTCTTCTAGTTAGTTAATCTGCACAATGGAGTAGTTATGCATTCAGTTCTCTGTGCATCTCACCCATCTCCTTTATCTGAAAGGGAGGGGGAAGGGAGAGAACAGTAGAAATTTTAAATAATTTTAAATAAATTTTAAATTTTCCATCTTCTGAAATAAGATTTTATAAAACAAGGAACCAAAGCAAGATGACTCTCTTTTGCAAGATTTATTTAAATAAATCTTAGTGGTTATCAAATGAATATCAGCAAGTGGAAATACGTTTTGGAGAAGTAAACAAAAGGGAGGCACAGAAATGGAGGAAGGTTGAGCAAATACAGCCATTATTATATTTGATATACACAATGTAAAAAATGAACTATGCAACTTGAGGGTGATACTCACCAAGAAACATTGTACACATAACCTGACTTATGGAATTGTAACTGTTTTGTACAACTAGTTAATAATATAAATAAATAATAAAATCTGTTTCACAACAAGACACACACTAATTATACCACCTAAGCCTGTATTTGGAACAAGATGGCTACAGTGACTGGGAAAGGAATTAGTAAACTACATGGTTAGTAAGCAGGGATGCATGCTATTGTTATAGCTAGGAAGAATTTGTTTTGGTGGTAGAATCATACCTCCAGTCCTTTTTTACTTTATTTTCCAAATAGGATCTATAGTTTTGGCTGGGATCAGCCTTCTGACTTTGGTCTTTCTAAGGTCTCCCTCATAGTCTCCCTCATAGTCGAGACAGCATGTACCACCACACAGAACTTTTTGTTGAGATAAATAGTCTCATTAATTTTTTGCCCTAAGCTGACTTTGAACTATAATCTTTCTGATCTGTGAACTGGGATTATAGGCACAAGCCACTGTCCCAACAAATAGTTCATTTTCTATTATCAATCTTTCATTCATAGATAAGGAAATGAAGTTCAGAATTAAGTGACATTCTCCAAGTCATGAGTTACAGACAAAACTGAGAACAATGACAAATGACTACTATTGCTGGCGAACTTCTCACTATGTGACAAGCATATATTTATGTAAGTTACTTTTAAGTAGTCTATACTCTTATCTCCATTTTGCTGATGAGAAAACATTACTTGCCTAGCTAATAAGTGGTCAGAACCAAGTCTTTATTGTTCTCAAATGGTAATACTACATCATTCTGCCTATCAATTCAGTTCAAGAGTAGAAGTGTGGTCACCACACAAGGTAAGCCAGCAATGGTTTATTATGGAACAGGAAGATAGTATTAGAACTTTCTGGCTATATTAGATTTTTTTCAATTTTTTTTTACTTTTTTGTTTTTAATAATATTAGCAAGCAGCACATGTATAATTACAAATGAATACAAAGATATATCAGAATTGGTGAGTATATAAAAAGTCATGGCCAGAATTCAGACAAAAAATGTGTTCATATCTAATTCCAAGTATCTAACCCAAAACATATAAGAATCTGTTTTCACACCAGTTTGTGTGATTAGCTAATATATAACATACTTACCTATGACATATTAAATTTACCTTATAGAATTATTCTCTATTGGTATAATGACAAGACAGGTTCTGAATCACATGGAGTTTCCCTAATATGGTTCCAGTGAGTGTATTCTAAAAAACCCCTCTAGATATTCACAGTTTAATGGGCTTTCCATTCCACTCTTCTATAAAGCATAAAGCATAGGGTCTAACTCAAACTAGGTAAGAGCTCATTCTAAGCCTGTCCCTAAGACTCCCAAGGACTACAGGGCAAAGTAACTTTAGTGAAAAGGAACTCCATCAGTAGTACAAGTATAATGAAATAAACTAGGAATAAAAGATTCAATACAAGTAATCTATTTACCTCAGCCTTCTCATATTTTGTTGTTCTCTTCTTCCTAGAAATAACCTGAAAGAAAAATGGTTACTATTTTAGAACTGCTATTCCAACAAAAAATAATTTGGTCAAAACTGACATATAACCTTTTAGAAAAATGTACATAATTCCAATCTGAATTATTTTGTTGTTGTTGTTGGTTATTGGGCTTGAACTCAGCTCTTGTCCCTCAGCAGTTTAGCTCAAGGCTAGCACTCTACTACTTGAGCCACAGTGCCACTTCTGGTTTTCTGGTGGTTAACTGGAGATAACAATCTCACAGCCTTTCCTGCCCAGGCTGGCTTTGAACCACAATTCTCAAATCTCAGCCTCCTGAGTAGCTAGGATTACAAGCATGAGTCACCAGCACCCACAATCTGAGTAATTTTTAAAAATCTATCCGTAAACATTTATTTCTTTGGAGCAGGAGGAGGTACTAGAGATTAACCTCAGGATACCAATCTCACTAGACAGGTATTCTACCATTTGAGACACTGTTGACATCATATGTGTATGTATGTGTGTGTATATACATGTACACACATGTGTGTACCAGTACTGGGGCTTGAACTCAGGGCCTCACACTCTTTTTTTTTTTTAGGTCCGGTCATGGGCCTGAACTCTGGGCCTGGGCACTGTCCCTCAGCTCTTCAGCTCAAGGCTAGCGCTCTACCACTTGAGCCAC